AACATTTGGAGGGACGGGCGGAACTGTCCAAGTCTCGTATGGCAGAACTCTGTTTAACTAATTGGACGTCTTATACGTCCCAGTTAGATTTGGGGAGATGATGGCCAGAAAATGGATCATTTGACCTAAATCGCCTGACTGCCTTACGAAAGATCTTGGAGGACCTCCGCCCCGGCCAAATGAATTATTGGTATTTATGGGACCATGTTGCTAGTAAGCGATCAAAGCTCTTAGCCACCCCGACCCCTGTACCTTCCCCAAATTTGTTAGCTCCCCTTCAATGTCCAAAACCTTCCGCACCACCTTCATATTCAGAAGATGATTATAGACCCCTGCCCAGGCCCCCTAACCCACCGTTAATTCCACCTCAAATGTTTGAACTCCAAAACGTTGCCCCCGGGCTGGCCAAGGGACTGGGAAGTCTTCAAGAGGCATCTCCTCAATTGTCTCTCTCGGAATCCCCGAGTCCCGGATCTGGAGAGGGATCCAGAGATCCCACTCCAGATTCCAGTTCCACCCCGATTTCAAATCGCACTCGTCAAAAATTGTCCAAGCCTACGCTTCAATTACCTCTAAGAGAATACCCTGTGTCTGGTGAGGGTGGAGGAGTTATCAGTCACTGGACACACACTCCGTTCTCCACCACCAACCTCTTAAACTGGCAAGAAAACACCCCCAGGCTCAGAGATGATCCTGAAGTAGTTCTAAGGCACTTCAAAACCATTTTCATGACTCATAACCCCTCCTGGTCAGATATCATGCAACTCCTCGAAAGCCTTTTAACCTCAGATGAGAAGACCCAAGTACTATGCCACACTGACCAATTTTTAGCCAATCAGCAGTATCAAAACCACCCCATGCCTAATGGTGTACCTAGGCAAGATCCAGATTGGAATTAGAACAAGGAAGAGGGACAAAATGCAGTACAAATGCTAAAGGAAAGTATCTTAGATGGACTAAAAAAGGCAGGAGATAAAACTACAAACTGGTCCAAAGTGACAGCTACTGTTCAGGGTCCAGAAGAACACCCTTCAGACTACTTTGAAAGACTCTGTAAAGCTATACCCCAGTATGGAAACATGGACCCCGAGACACCTGCCACTTTGCCTGTGTTAAAACTTGTATTTATAAATCAGGCTAGCGAAGATATTAGAAAGAAACTACAACAGGTTACCCCAAGGATATGTAGAATCTCCCAGCATTTTTTCTTAAATTCTTCACAAAGATTTGCAAGATGTTACTTTTCCTAACTCCTCATCCGTCCTAATATACGTGGATGATTTACTCTTATACTCTACCTCATCCGAGGCATCTACCCAGGACACCATCATCTTACTCACTACACTAGCTGCCAAAGGCCACAAGGTGTCACTGAGCAAGCTTCAGTTCTGTAAATCCACTGTTAAATACTTAGGACACATCTTAGAGCCAGGCCAACGACGCCTTAGTGATGACAGAATCCAAGCCATCCTAAATATTCCCAAACCTATAACAAAGCGTCAAGTTAGGGTTCTGCTAGGAATGGTAGGGTTCTGTCGCTCTTGGATCCCAGCCTTCGGAGAGTTAACCAAACCACTTGTACAGCTTACCACGAAAGATGCAGAAGAACCAGTCTTTTGGGATCATGAAGCCGCCCACAGCTTCGGTAATATAAAAACAGCTCTAGCCTCTGCTCCTGCTCTAGGGCTACCAGATTATCGAAAACTTTTCACGCTCTTTGTCCGTGAGCGACTAGGAGTAGCCTCTGGGGTACTTACCCAACCCTTAGGCACCACCCAACGCCCAGTAGCTTACTTCTCTGCACAATTAGATCCAATGGCTAAGGGGGGAACAGGCTGCCTTCGCACAGTGGCAGCAGCTGCAACAATAGTCAAGAAAGCCCAGGAATTAGTCCTCGGATACCCCCTTATCCTAAAGGCTCCACACGCAGTAGCCCTCCTCCTGCTCTAGAAAAATACTCAACATTTTTCTCATCAAAAAATAAACAAATATGAAACCACACTTTTAATGGCCACAAACCTGGTCATAGAAAGATACAATACCCTGAATCCGGCTACCCTATTACCTCTACCCAGCGACGGTGAACCAGACTCCCATGATTGCCTTCAAGTTGCAGCATTTTCAGATAAACCCAGGGCAGGTCTCAGTGACTTACCCTTAGACAACCCTGACTTGATTTTTTATGTAGATGGCTCTTCAAAAATAGTCAATGGAGTTAGAAAAACGGGTTATGCAGTAGTAACTCCATTTGAAGTACTTGAAGCTGAACCACTGCCTGGGCAGTTGAGTGCGCAGGCGGTGGGAGCCACCTGTGAAAAAGATGGAATATGGCGATTGCCGGATGGAAGGATAGTGCTACCTAAAGCAGCCCTTAGACCTTATCTACAACAACTCCATCAAAGCGAGCATTTAGGGTGCGAAAAACTTAGAGGATTTATGACAGCCTCTGGAACTAAAATATCAAATGCCAAACAAGTCCATGATCTCCTACACGGTATAATGTCGCCAAAGGCCATAGCTGTAATGCATTGCCCAGCCCACACCAAGAAGGGAGATCAAGTCTCAAAAGGCAATGCCCTGGCCGATGCAGCGGCCCTACAGCCACTCTCCACCCTAGCCTTCCAAACTCAAATTCCTCAGTCAAAGGCATATTTGGGCATATTGCTAGAGCCAGACATGGTCTAAAGGCGGTGCAGACTCATACAACAAAGATGGAAAGCGGTGGGCGCCACCTGTGAAAAAGATGGAATATAGCGATTGCCGAACGGAAGGATAGTGCTACCTAAAGCAGCCCTTAGACCTTATCTACAACAACTCCATCAAAGCGAGCATTTAGGGTGCGAAAAACTTGCTGCTATCACTAATAGACTGTTCTATGCACCCGGAGTCTAACAGGAAGCAAAAAGGCTTTTAGAACACTGCAGTATGTGCAAAAAGTTTAATATCAAAGGGGAAAAATCAGGACCCCCCGGAGCCCGCCCTTGGGCTTATACTCCCTTTGAAAGACTACA